ACTGTCAAAATTTTAGCGTACAGTACATACAGTACGTACAGTACAGTACGTATAGTACAGTACGTGGCACATCACTAGTCGAGAATCAACCGGACAGAGTTTCGGTACAATTTATGTTTATCACGTGAGCAAGAAACAGCGATCACACTACTTATGCCACTTAAGTAGTAGATCAGGGTGTGAGTATTTTATTTGGCGATTATAATAGGTATAGGGTTATTAGGAACGAGTTTTATGTGAATCACAGAGGATATGCTTCCTCAAGGGCGAGAAGCCTTTATTATATACTTTCTATTAACTAGAACGAACTATACATCCTATCGGTGCTAAATCACCGATATTACTTATATTACTTATAATACTTATAGTTATTTTAATTATTATACTCCCTAAACCCTCTATTGATCCGATAATACCTTTAATTACTAAAATCCCTTTATCTCCTTTACGACCTTTAATACCGGAAAACCTATTTATGGTAAATGATCTTCGCAACCGTTAATTGGATTAGATACTGCGCCCCAACAACGACCACGTGTTTCCCGGTTTACATTTCTGCGGTTCACACTCCCTTTCTACCGACAAATAAATTTATGAGTCTATTTCACGGATAGAAAATTTTACTGAATAATTACATTTCAGTAAAATGGGCTTTCGGTTTTTAATATTCGGTGAACTTGTGAAAATTTATAATCGAATAAACTATAATTCGAAAAAAAAATTGAGATATCGAAATATGTCTTGTTACAGCAGTTTTCAAAAAGATGTGGAAAACGAATTCCATATACTCATGCGAAATCGAAAAATTCTGAAATGTTAATTAGAAAGAATTTAATATCTGATTCGGAAATGTTGTGAATTTTTCATGGTATGATCTGCATCTTTCCACAACTTTTCGAAAACGGCTATAATAATTATGTGGGAGCTTATGACTCACATTTTATTATCTCATTTATTTGATGAGAGGGATAATTCTAAAAAAAAATTTTTTTTTTCAACCTAATCTTAAGATGGTAAAGGATAAGCGACGTAAAATGAAGATTAGAAATAATAGAAACTCAATTGTGGTTTAATAATTTTTCAAAGTCACTAACGAAACACTTATTCGTAACATTGCATTAATGATTTAACTAATTACTTAATTAGATTCAACTGAAACGGAGTTTTTTTAACGCATTAGAAGAATATTTATACATTAAAATAAGTAAAGCAATTATGCTCTATACATATACAGTAAATCTCTAGCTTGCCACACTTCCATTACGGATTGTATATATTTTGCTTTATCTCTTCGATTATTTCCCATCTTTTCCATCTATACATAATCTGTTGAAACGGTTGAATGGGAGAGCGACGCATAATGAATGCGCAGTGTAGTTCCAACCGCTACTATAAAGGCGACTTAAGGTGTGTATCGAGTTAGCCTTATGTACACAGCCTCATGCGTGGACTTTAACAATCACAATACTTACTTAGATAACACCCAAAAAGGTAATATCATAAAAATAATTCATTGCACTATCTTGAATTACACATACATACGTACGTACGTACGTAGATTTTTGGTTTAAAAAAAAATGGTACTTAATTTGGAATGCATTTAAAATCAATTTTGACCATAAAAGAATATCAATATACACATTAGCGACATATTACCGTAAACTTTATTTTTGATACTCCCTTGTCGCATCTTGGAATAAACTTTTATCATCACGCATAATCAGTGTTACAACACTATATATACTGTAGTACAATTGTTATACCTAAAGTGCATATACGATTAATCTATATAATACTTATACCTTATACATAAATCTGGATATATACACATAAGTACTGTATTGTACAGTATATGCTATACAATGAATGTGAAGCCTAGAGGACCAAACATATTTTGGACTTTGAAATATTTACAAGATAATAAAATATATAAATATACTACAATGGATTTTCTATACTGTACAAACTTATCAAGTTTGAATTAAATTTAATTAGTTTAACACGAAAAAAAAAATGGCCCAAGTAATTAATGATAGTTTAATACAAAGAAAAACAAAATTGACCCAGGATACAACATTTATTGAAGAAACACTTGGGTCTCTTAATGATTATGTCCTTTTAGGACGCAGTGGTTTGAGAGTTTCTCCTTTATGTCTTGGTACCGAAGTATGATATTATTTTCAGTACATTATTACTATTTAAAAAAATTATTTCTAATACTTTAATTTATTAAGACATTTGGTGAACAATGGGTAGGTCTACCTTTATTTTGTCAAGTACGATTTTCTCAAATTCATTACCTTTTAAATCTCCATTATGCTAAATAGGGAATTGGTACTAATTATGAGGGCTCTAAAGAAGTTTTCGACTATTATTTTGAAAATGGCGGTAATTTTATTGGTAAATATATATATCTTAAAGCACGTCGCTAAAATCTTTGTATAAAAGAAAATGCAATAAATTACAGATTTAAGCTTACACGATTTTCTATATATTAGATACTTCAAACAATTATAACTTTGGTGAGGTAATTGACACGTGTTAACCATAATATTCAATTAGATTTATGTCAAATTATTCCAATTTTATGTATTTTATATTCTATAGAGTGAACGCTTTCTTGGAAAATTAATCGCAGAAAAACGTTCTCAGATTGTAGTTTCTACTAAGTATTCTAGTACGTATTTATATTTATTTATTACCTTATTATGTATAATTTTTTCATATACATCAACATTTATTATGCATAATAATTTTTATATATAGCGAATGTTACAGCATCATTACCAAACACTCGATTTGTTCCAAATGCTGGTAACTATAAATGGTTTAATATTAATATTTCCTTTTGATGAAATTTCATTTATATAATTATATTCTTTTTATTATAAAGGTGGAAATCATCGCAAATCTCTTGTTCAAAATCTTGATGAAAGTCTTAAACGATTAGGTATTGGCTATATTGACGTTTTATATCTTCACGCCTATGGATTTCGTACTCCGATTGAAGAAATAATGCGTTCTTTGGATGACTCTGTTAGAAGTGGCAAGGTATATATGTTTTATATTCAATATCTCATAGTTGTTTGAATAATAAATTTTATTTTTTATTTTAATTTTATAATTTATTGTCTAGGTATTATATGTTGCAATCAGTGATGCACCTTCATGGATGATTAGTCGTGCAAATACAATAGCTGAATTACGTGGTTGGAGGTAATACATAATAATTTTGCTGCGTTTTTATTATAATTACAGTATATTAAATTTTTTATAATTTATATAATTTATATAATTTATTTAATTTATATAATCTTCAAGTCGATTTATTGCATTACAAACTCGATATAATTTGTTGAATCGATCAATGGAGTTTGATTTACAACCTGCCTGTGCTGAACTTGATGTAAATATAATACTGTTATATATGAGTATTGCCAAGGGAAACCTGCTACCGGGAATTTAGGCTTATTATTCGTCCGACTTAGCCTCTGATGAATCATCAGAGGTTAAGTCTGATGAATAATAATTAGATTTCTGGCTACAGGTTTTTCCTTGGCAGCACTCATATAATCTGATTATAAGGCTCACATGAAATGTAATAAATAACATGCTTTTGTTTATCGTAAAGATTGGAATAAGTCCTTGGGGATGTGTTGCAGAAGGGTATGAACTCTAAAATTATTTTATTATATACATACAGTACATATACATTTAGTATTGTTTTATTAAAAAGGGCTAATTGTTTGTATTTATTAACTAGGTTCTTAACTGGAAAATATACTAGGAAATCTATCAGCAATATAAAAAATAAAAGTGGTCGTTATCCTTCTATTTTGCGTTTAGCAAATGTGAAAAGAAATTGGGAAATACTTGATGAAGTTATTAATATTGCTACTGAAATTAAAAAAAGTCCAGCACAGGTAACTTTTTGATTTGTATTTTACTAGTTGTTATTATATTTCCAGACTTATTATTTATTTTAAAAAAAATTTAACAGATTGCATTGAACTGGATTTTACAAAAACCTGGTGTCACATCTCCTGTTTTTGGTGCTAGAACAAAAGCTCAAATTATTGAAAATCTCAAGGCCCTTGATTTCAAGTAAATTCTTATAACAATAATATTAGTTTTAATATATATATATATTAACATAGCGATAAATTCTAACATACATTACCATAATTTAACAGATTAACACCTGATCAAATGGCAAGATTAGATTCAATTTCTCAACCAAAGGAAATACCATTTCCAAACACTATGTTTCCCCAAATTGATAAATTAGGTGGCGGCGATAAAATTCAATTACCCGAAAAATTTAAATATGCTTGGAATTTAGGTAGAAATAAAATTTATTATTTATCTAGCAAGTCTAAACTTTAAATAAGTCGAAATTTTTGAAAATAATGAATAAAATAAATTAAAATATATTAGCGATATTTTAATATTAGCAAAATTATAAAGTATAATATAAAGTTAATAATTTTAAACTTATTAAATTAATATTGTTTATACTTTATACAACTTTTCTAATACTGTAATAATGCATATATTCAGATAACTAATAGCTAATATTTGAACTTTAAGCAAGGTATAAAATATTTAATTTGTAATCCAAGATGGTTTTTCAAGGCTTCATTTTTAGCCGATAAAATTTTCAAATTTCTGAATATTACGTATAATGTAAAAAATAGTAAGCTTCTAATTACTATTTTATGAATAAAATGCAAAATAAAGCGATATCTTAATGAAATTAGTTATATACGGTGAATAAAAGTTTATTATATCAGATATTGAATACATCGTAAATTACGCCTGAAAATCGAAGTATAAGCGATAATAATAATAATAAAAACATAAAATACATAAGAAATATTTATTGATTGATTATTTAAATTGGTAGCTTTAAGGATATTGCATGAAATAATACGAAACTTATGAGTACGAGCTATGTATTTGTTATTTAATTAAGAGGTCACAAAATTTCAATTTCAAAATCATGAGATTTGCTTCAAACTTTTTTTAATTAAAGAAAAAATAAATGCTACTTAATGGATGAAAGTCGCTATAATGAATGTTGTAATGTATTAAAAAATCCCAACCTGCCACAAAAAAAATTTTTTTTAACATGGATTACCTATATTTGAAAACATGAAAATGTTTGTAGAATAGCAATTCTAATGTTAAAAGAAATCATGAATACATTAGAAATAATATACAAAAGAAATATAAAACAAAATATGAACGAATATTTGAACTTTGTGAATTTGTAAAAATTTCATAGTACCTGATATTTACAAGCTAAAAATGCAGCAAATATCATTCATTGCCTTAAATATTCGTCAAAAAAAAGCTTGAATATGATTGTCATCAGGCTGCATGCAAGTTTGGAATCCTTGATAAATGGTACTAACCTTGATGTGGTTCCTTTTAACAACGTAATCTCATTACAGCAGGCTGGATTTAAATAAAATTTTGCTACAATCTTTAAACCAAATTAATAACAAAAACTCTGAAATAAATGAATAAGTTACTTGTTACTTGTTACGGCTGAAGCCGGGGATTTTAACTATTAGGTATGTCGTACGTCGGAACAAAATTATTGTAGAATCTACTTAAGTTAGAACAGAATCCCAAACGTAGTCCAAGTTGATACGAAATTTAGAAGCAACTTAAGTCAATTATATACGTGATACTATATAATCGATAAATTCAATAGCAACTTAAATTGATTCAATTTTATACTGTAATAAATCATAATAATATAATAAATATATTGTAAAAATAAAATACAAATCTTTTATTATTTCTTTTTTTATTTCTTTTTTTATTTCACTTTTTCATAATTTGCAACTCTCTACCTGATGACCGAATATTAAGATTATCCATTCAAAGAATTGCTTTCCAAATATTTTAGTAATGAGTCAAAAATAGGCAATATAAAATCTTGCATGAAGACTTTTGTTTTTGTATTAAGGTTTTACAAGATTCAGCAAATACAACAATCGGGGATGTGAAAAAACGTTATTTGGCAAAAATACATTTGTATATAAAATGCAATTGAAATAGTATTCTTTCAATGCTCATAAGCATTCGAAAAGCATCTATTATACAATCTCCTTCACTAATAGGTAACGTTAATTGCAATTGCAAAAATTCATGAGAAAAAAACTGTTGTAAATGTAAAAAAATAAATCTACCCTGTAGGAATAGTTGCTATCCCACTTTCATAGTTTTAAATTTAATTAATTTGCAATGCAATGTGTTATGAATAAATCTTATCTTAAAGTAATTTAAATTTCAAAACAACATAATCGATGAAATAATTTGGAATACATATAGTTTTGTTGTAAGTTAAATTGAAATTATTTAATGACTTGGGCATAATTTGGAATCCTATTACAATCTATGCTTATTCAGAATCAACTTAGGTTGATACTAAATCTACAATAATTCCTTTCTGACGTGCAACAGATACAGTATAATAATTAGGTTAATCTTAATGTGCTGTAATATCAATAATACGTGATGATAAGTAAATAATGTAAATAAGAATTTAGAACAATAGTATACGTATTTAGATCTAAGCTTCATTGAATTTTTAAGTAGAAATATATAATCTAAAAATTACTGCCAGATTTTTTCTTAAGTTATTCCGAGATGCGACAGGGAGTATCAAAATTAAAGTACGTACGTACGTACTGTACCATAATATGTCGCTCATGTGTATTGTCTTTTTATGGTCAAAATTGATTTTAAATGTATTCCAAATCTGTTATAAATTATAATATGTTATTATTAGAATAAAGTTTTTATAACCAAAAAAGGTTAAATGACAATTACGGAATTCTTTGATTAGATTATGAGTTAAATTTCTGAAATCAATTTCATTGAAAAATATCATTCAATAAAATTTATTCGGTGAAACGGACTGTCATAAATACAGAATTATGGAGTCGATGAAATAGTATTTCGGGAAAGTGAGTTTTAGGAAAGTAAGAATCATCGTATTTGGAACTCAGGATTCACAAAATGCAAATGTCTTACTAATTAAGAATGGTGATGAAATTGCCTTTTATAGTTTTGTGGCCAAAGAATTTCTAACTAAACAACGAAGTTTTTTTAGCAGAATTTTTTTTCTTTTGTGAAAATAATTCTATTAGTTAGCTTTGAAATTTAAGTTTTTGAGAAATTTTAATTGTTGCGAGACCAATGAATTTATCATGAGGAGAGCAATACAACACGTTAACAAGGTTATTAGTAATTCGTAGATAATTGCCGAATTTGATGTATTTCTAGTTAGAGCTTACAGATTCCCTATTCGAATAATATTCGAATAATCTAGATCGGAAAATATCTATTCGAATATTCGCCGAATGACTAGCAGAATTCGAATAAGTACTATTTATTCGAATAACATATAGTT